GTATGCCAAAAAGGCTGTGGTTAGAGAGAGAGTTTGCAATGTAAATCCACGATGATAAAGGGGAGGGATGAAGAGAATTTGAGAAAATAGAGAAAAAGATGAAGGGTTGAAGAGATAAGAAAGAGAGAGTAGAGGGAGGAGGGAAAAGACAGCAAAGAAGAGAGTAAATATGTGTGAGTAAGATCAGAAAAAGGGGAGAAGAAAAAAGCAAAAAATTATAATTGGTAAGAGGGAGATGATGTCGAAAAGGGTAGAAGTCTTCCTTTTGAGTGCCACCTACTGAGAGTTTATCTTTTATGTAACTTCTAGCCGCTTGTCTGGCTTAGTCTGCATATATGTTTTATGGGCAGTATTTCGCCTCTCTCTTCATTCGCTCTCTGTAGGTACCTCCAAAGCTGGGGAGGAAAGAAAGGGGGCAAGAGAAGGGGGAGGGCAGGGGGGATGAGCAGGGGTAAAGATATAATATACCAGCGGGGGGGGGGATGCAGAACCCAAATCCAAATAAAGCTCAGAGTTCCGGAGGCACTCGGCGAGAATAGGGGTAGCCAATTAAGAACTGAGGATCCAGCGCAAAACAAAAGAGGCAGGCAGCAACACAAAGGGAACCGCCGATTCCGTCACAAGTCGGGTCTCGGCTAGTGGCTTCACCTCGCAGTCCTTACAAAGGTTTCTCCTCCCGCTGCCCACAGAATGCGGTAGAGGGGGGGTCAAAAGCGGCGGGCTTCGCGAAAGCTCCAGAGTCTTCGGGAGGGGGGAGGGCGAGCGTCTGCAGGGAGGGGTGCTGTGCCTAGCTTGGTCTTTGTTCTTTACACCACCCTCCAAAGATATGGAAGAGAAGGGTATATTCTTTTCTGCAAAGACCACTTTTCGTAGCTGCTGCCTCCTCCTTTTCTATGTCCCAGGCTAGTCAGCTTTCCTCCCTCCTCTCTGTCTTCCTCCGCTTCTGGCTGTCGCCCCCTTCCCGGCTTCTCTATCTTCTCCTCGGACTCCCCACGGAAATCTTTCTCTAGCCGCCTATACCATGCAAAGTTTTTCGACTTTCTCTTCCCGTTTTGTTACTTTTGTTACTTTTCTGTTGGTTATTTCGCCTCGTCAAACTCCCGACGAGGACTTTCCCTTTCCGCGATTCTACAGCAGGTTAGTGCTCGTTTCTTTGTATCACTCTTCCGACTGAAGACCCAGCGCCATCTTAGTCCCGTAAAACCAAACGGACTCCGTAATTAAATCAATAAACATCCATCGCTCCTTGGGCTCTATTTTCCAATTTTTAGTTTCAACATAGTTCATTTGGCCCCAAGGGTTATTTTCTTAAATTTGCGGAGATTTGTCGCCCTTTCAGCAGGGAGCTTTGAGGCATAACTGCGCGGGGTCGGCAGGGCTTACCAGGTGCGTCTCATTGATCCCGTCGCTCCTGGTAAAATCCACGTAGCTTCGGGCCACTCCGACGCTGCTGGTTGCGCTTCCCTCAAGGGGGCCCCCCTTGAGGTTTTGGGGGACGCAGTGCCTTTGCGTTGCCCCTCAAAAACCCCGTTCAGCTCGGAGAAGTCAGAGAGCAACCTCTCCGCGCTCCCATACTGCAGGCAATCCAAACCGGAAGTCCCGTTCTCATAGCAGCTTTGGCGGTTTGGGCATTTCATAGCCGTTTGAACTCGGGGGGTGGTGTAGGGGGTTGTTTCTGCAAGACAAGCTGCTGATCACCTGGTTCCCCCCAATGCCTCTGTTGTAAATAAAAAATATGCCCTTTTCCCTTATGGGGTATTCAAGAGCCCATATAGGTTCCCTATTGGTAGGAGAAAATAACAGAGGCCAACCAGAGAATATTGAGAAGCAAAGCAGCTAGGAAGCTTGATCTTTGTTGAACTGTTGCAACAGGGTCCTCACTTACCACATGAAGGAGGGAGAAGGAACCCAGAACAATGGCGCGCAAGGCCTTATATAGACTTGAAATTGCCACCCTGTACATAGGCGCCGACTCCATGGGGCCTGAGGGGGCCCGAGCCCCCTCAAAAATTCGTTTGGGGGGGCTCTGCCCCCCCAATAATTTAAGAAAATTATTAGTTCGGCCTCATTACGCCCCCCCCCCGGCGATTCTCTGCCAGCCGCTTCATTCCGCTTCCACGCGCCTCGGATAGAAGGTGACGCGCGCCGCTACCTTCTGTCGCCTCCGTCACCATTTATGGGGAAAAGCAGGAGGAGGAGACCGGAGGCGCCCAAAATAAAACTGTAACGGCATTCAGCACTCCGCCTCCCCGGTGGGATCCCGCACGGGCGGCCGGGCAAACGACGAGCCGAGGGAGAAAGTCTGCCTTTCAGCCCCGGCTGACTGACAACTTCCCAGGGCAGGACCCCGGTATGGGCCCCCCCAATATTTTTTATAAGTCGGCGCCCCTGACCCTGTAGATCAAGACCACCCCCCAGAAACATCATACATACATCACAGAAGGGGTGTAACCTAAGACCACCCCTCAGATACATCCCACCTACATCACAGAAATTTAAATGTTGTTTTTCTCCTGTCACAGTTTATCTCCTGTCTGGCAAGTTACTTGATTGGATTTCCCGGGGAGCCTGGCCATTCTTTTGTAGTGGTAAAATACTTATTTCCTGGGCCAGGTCACAGGCTCACACCTTATTCAAACAGACATATCCTTGAGATTTGTGAGGAAAGAGACAATGGGGAGGCTTTTCCAGTTTAACCTTGCAGAGAAAGGATTTGGTCAGTTTAGGAATCAAAATGGTTCCAGGTTGGTCTTCCTGTGTTGATCTATGTATGTGCAGTTATGAACATTACCATATATCTAAGACCATAAAATTCCTATCACACCTCCAATGGACCCCCTCCCCACAATTCCCAGAGCTGCTTTACATTTAAAATAAAAAACTGTGTGTGCGATGGGGAACCTGCCATGATATGGGCAAGGGGGCAAGGGTCATGTCTGACCAGGCATTCAATTTGTGATTTTTTCAGTTTGTGAAGGCAGGAGGAAGTTGGGAGTTGGGGCCAAGGTCTTGTGAGTTTCTGTTTGCCACTGTGCAGTGCTTTGGAGTCACAAGACACTGTTTTGCATTCCACACATTCCAGAGTGTTGGAAGTCTCACGGAAGACAGGAGACGGATGTGACGTTACTGGTTTCCTGTTCCTTTGTTGTTCAGTTGCCCTCTGCTCTCACAGAGAGAGGATGTCTTTCATTTCTGTCTGCGTAGCTTAGCAATAAAACTCTTTAGCCCTGTAGCTCATAAATCTCATCACTTCTGCTGCTTTGATTCTCTGCATAATGGGAACGTGCTTGGAGCCTTATCAGAGGCTCAGGTCGTTAATTATCATCGGAGGCGATTCCAAAGGACTCGACTGGAGGAGGAGGAGTAGCTCAGTCGTAGCAGAGGCTCCGACAGGTCTCTTGCCTCCTACCCCCCCCCACCCCATCTCCCTTTTAATCTTTGAAGCTGGTTTGGAAAGAAGTGTGAGTCAGATAGCTCCTGGGGCCACGTGAAATCCAGCCAAGGGCTGTGCATTTCTGAACATTCCAGGCATGTCACTTATGCTATCTGGGGAATCCTCTGCACTGTTCGACTTTGGAGGAATTGCTGAGATAATGCAGGGTGTGGGGTGTGAGTCTTGTCCAAACAGGCCTGTCTAGGGCAGTTTGAAAGGGAACAAGGGGCCCCATCCTGGGGCAGGGCTCCTTAGCCTCTTGGCCACTATGCTACACAATTTCAGTTTGCTCACAAGGAACCAGGGTGCTATAGGGGGGCTGTTATCTCCTGGCAGATGCAGCACTCGTGCCAGGCTTTGGAGAAATGGCAGGGAGATTTCAGAGGATGAAGGGTGAAATATACTCTGCCGGGGGAGCATCCTGCAGGTCTCACAAGAGAGCAGATTCTGGCTACACTTTAGGAAGAACTTTCTTACAGTAAGAGTGGTCGGACGGGGGAACGGATGACCTTAAGAGACTGTAGACTCTCCTTCCTTGGAGGTTTTTAAGCAGAGGCTGGATGGCCATTTGTTACGGGTCCTTTAGCTGTGATTCCTGCATTGCTGGGGGTTGGACTAGATGACCCATGGTGTCCCTCCCGACTCAATGGTTCTGTATGCAAATGGTGGTTCACAAACAGTCAGTGACAATAGCAACCCTACAATGGCACAGGTGGGTTCTTTTTATTAATGCCCAACACACATACAGAGCCAAACATTCATACAGATTCTCATATGGCATCTGGTTTCCGGGGGTTGCTGGCCAAAGGGAGCCAGAAGCAGTTTAGGATTGTTTACCGGCTCTCCCTTTACACGCCTGGAGAGGGGGGCTTGCTCGGAGCTGTGCTTTGGGCTCCGGATTCTGCCCTCCTCCCCCGCTAATGGACTGCGGAGGCCTCCATCTCTGTGGACAGGATGAACTCCACCTTCCCCCTCTGGTGTGAGATTTAGTCTTTGCCTGTGGAAGGGAGGTGTGAGCCATCCCCCTCTGGCTGAGATCCTGCAACTCTGCAGCTGCACTGAGCTCTTGCTTAAAGTGGGGCGGGCGGGGGGGGCTGTGCTAGCTGGGTATTTTGCCCAGGGTGAAGCCCCGCGCATCTGGCTGAGTTTCCCCAGCCACTCTGGGCGGCTCCCAATGGAGTGTTAAAAACAATACAGCACTAAATATTAAAAACTTCCCTAAACAGGGCTGCCTTCAGAAGTCTTTTAAAGATAAGATAGCTGCTTATTTCCTTCACATCTGATGGGAGGGTGTTTTATAGGGCAGGCGCCACTACCAAGAAGGCCCTCTTCTAAGGCCCAGGAGCTGGATCTGGCCCAATTGCCTTCTAAATCCGGCCCGCAGACTGTCCGGGAATCAGCTTGTTTTTTACATGAGTAGAATGTGCCCTTTTATTTAAAATGCATCTAGGTTATTTGTGGGGCATAGGAATTCATTCATCCCCCCCCCAAAAAAAACCCCATATAGTCCGGCCCCCCACAAGGTCTGAGGGACAGTGGACCGGCCCCCTGCTGAAAAGGTTTGCTGACCCCTTCTCCAGAGGGACGCCAATGAGGCTCCCAGCCTGTGTGTGTGTGTTGTGTGTGTGTGTATATGCAATTGTGCATGGGAGTGTGTGCCAAACTGCGTCTTTGACTTTGGGGAAACAAAGTCTGGTTTTGCCCCTGGTCAAAGCAAGCCTAGCTGGACAGTCTGGGAAGGGAAAGAGCATGCCAGAAGCAGTACCACAGGAGGCCAGAGGGGGGGGGCAGGAGAGGGCAGCTCACCATCTGGAAGACAATGTACCCCAAATGGCTGCACTGGTTTCTTGGGGACCCTCTTGGGACTCTCTCCTGCAGAAGCCTCCCCCCCAACGCTGTGTTCCAGACGGAAAGTCTTCAAGTCCACGGCCAGACCCAACAATCCTTGGAGTCTTCCTTTAGGAGGTGCTGGATGTAGAGGACCCTAGAAGAGAAAGCTGAGTGGTCAGGGGGGTGCTGTCCTTCACCCTACCAGGCCTCCCCACAAAAAGCACAGAGGCTGACCCCCCCCCCATGGGCCTTTGGAGCTGTGCCCCTTCCTCTTATTTGTTTTTTGTTTATTGCATTTCTGTCCCACCATCTCCTCCAAAGAGCTCAGGGTGGTCTGAATGGTTCTCACATTCTCCCTCAATCTGCACCACAACCTTGCGAGGCAGGTTAGGCCGAGGGGCAATGAAGGTCACACCTCGTGAGCTTCATCCTAGCTGAGTGGGGGATTCGAACCCTGCCCTTTCCCAGTGTGATAAGAATTTTAAGGTCTTCGATATATAATAAATGTTCATGAATGCACCAAGCAAACACATACATAAATATATAAACCACATGTCTGAAACAGCGCAGGAAAACAGCCATGAAGCCATTTTGGCTCCCAAACTGACCAGATGTTTTCTCTTCAAAGTTAAAGGAAAATGGAAAAGCCTCCCCATTGTCTTTTCCTTCACAAATCCTGTCTTAAAGGTATGTCTGTGTATGAATAGGGTGAGCCTGTGACTTGGCTCAGGAACTAAGTATTTATCATTACAAAAGACTGGCCAGGCTCCCCAGGGTATCCAATCAAGTCAGCATTAACAGGTAACCTGCCAGACAGGAGGTAAATAACGCACTCAGATTTCTGTTGTAGACAGCCCTTTCTGTGATGTAGGTATGATGTGTCTGGGGGGTGGTCTTGAGTTACACCCCTTCTGTGATGTATGCATGATGTTTCTGGGGGTGGACTTGGACTCCAAGGTGGGCAATTTAAAATATCTATATAAGGACAGGCACACCTTGGTTCTGGGTTCCTCCTCCTTCCTGCGTGTGGTGAGTGAGGACCCTGTTGCAACAGATCAATAAAGATCAGGCTTACTAGCCACTTTGCTTCTCAATATTCTCTGCTTGGCCTCTGTTATTTTCTCCTACCAATAGGGAACCTACGTAAGGACTCTATATGGGCTCTTGGACACCCCATAAGGGGAAAAGGGCAGATTTTTGTTTACAACACCAGGTCCTGGTCTGACACTGTAAACCCCTGCACCCTGTGTCTTCCCCCAGGGGTGCCTCAGCTAAAAGGAAGCAGCCGGCTCCTCCAGCATCCCTGCATGAGGAGCTGCTGGTCTCCCCTCCCCATCCTGTCACTCTTGTCAGGGAAGAGTCCTGAGACCCTCCCTCTCTTATCAAACCCGCCAGACTGTTTGAGGGAGGGATGTCCCGGCTGCTGGAGAAGAGTGCCGAGACCCCTGCCCCAAAGCCCACCCGTTGCACTCTTCCTAGGCCAATGGGGGCTTCGTGTGATGGATCCCCAGGGCAGCTGAGTCAAGTCCCTCAGCCCAAACAGGCAGCTGGAGCAAGAGAGGTGGGAAAGCAGGGATTTTAGCTGCATTTCCTGCATTGCAGAGCCCTGGAATCCCTTCCGAATCTATGAGCTTCCTGAGCTTCGCCTGCCAGGGGTGCCCATCCTCCCATGGTGCCACCCCCGCCTCTGGCAGCTTCCTCACCTGGCCTGCCCACTCCTGCCTTGGCAGCTTGGGGGACGTTGGTGCATTCCATGGAGAAGCCCGAGAAGCAGCACTTCTGATCCCCCTTGCACTGCCAGTCGTGGGTGCAGGTGTCGCTGCACGGCTCTCCTCCTCCCGAGGGCGCCTTCCGTTGCACCAGGGGGCATTTCCCAGGCTTCTCTAAGAGACACAGAGAGGCAGAGAGTGAAAGAGATGGAAATTCTCTCACAGACACTTTAGGATTCTGTCTGGTAATGCATTACTGAATCACGTCTGGCTAGTGGGGGATTTGGGGTGAGCCTCTGTACTTGAACCCCCAAAAGGGAACTTTCTCCCACAGATTTCCTTCCACCCAGGGCCGTCTTAACCATAGGCGCCAGGGGTGGGGGGCACCCGGGTGCCAGGCTCTCAGGGGTGCCAGGCTGAGAGTCCGGGGCCTGAGAGTTGAAGTCCAGGGAAGAGCTCGCCCGTTGGTTGGAGCACCGCAGCGGGCTCTTCTGCTGCGGGTGGGTCTGCGCCGCGAGTTCGGGGGTGAGCGAGCTAGCGAGGTGCTGAGGCGGCCGGCCAGAGCTAATGTAGGTCTTTTAAGACCGGTGTTATGTGGTCTCGGTGGCCACATGCCTCAAAGAACCTAGGAATTGAGATAGACTACCCCTGGACCTGGCGGTTCCACCAGAAGATCAGAAGAGCCCGGCTGCTGGATCAGGCCAAAGGGAGCCCACCTAGTCCAGCCTCCTGTTCTCCCTGTGGCCAGCCAGATGCCACAGTGGCACAGAGTCCTGTGGGGGCCTTCAGCCTGGCACATGCACATGAAACGATCACGCCCCCACCTGACAGGAGCAGCTGAGTCTGGAGCTGATGCAGCCTTCAGGAGAGACACCTGATGCCCTGGCAATGGGCACCCATTGCATCTCTTCCCCCGGGGCACAGCAGGGGAAGGACCTGTGTTTCAGTTTTGCTGCCTCCCACCATGTATGGTTTTCCCAGTAGTGATGAATGGAAGTGAGAGCTGGACCATAAAGAAGGCTGATCGCCGAAGAATGGATGCTTTTGAATTCTGGTGCTGGAGGAGACTCTGGAGAGTCCCATGGACTGCAAGAAGATCCAACCTCTCCATTCTGAAGGAAATCAGCCCTGAGTGCTCACTGGAAGGACAGATCCTGAAGCTGAGGCTCCAAGACTTTGGCCACCTCATGAGAAGAGAAGACTCCCTGGAAAAGACCCTGATGTTGGGAAAGATGGAGGGCGCAAGGAGAAGGGGACGACAGAGGACGAGATGGTGGGACAGTGTTCTCGAAGCTATGGACATGAGTTTGACCAAACTGCGGGAGGCAGGGGAAGACAGGAGTGCCTGGCGTGCTCTGGTCCAGGGGGTCACGAAGAGGCGGACACGAGTAAACGACTCAACAACAACAACCCTGTAGGCAGAGCTGAGCCATCCTAGATGGCCACTGATAGCCTTCATGGGCCACACCCTGTGGCAGAAACAACAACTGTCAGAGACATTGAATCAACAGGGTGCAAGCAAAACAAAGCAGGGTGCTGGATCAGGCCCGTGGCCCATTTGGTCCAGCATCCAGTGGCCAACCAGATGCCTATCTAATCCTCTTGTAAAGACATCCAGGTTGGAGGTCCTTGCTGCTTCCTGTGGGAGAGAGTTCCATAGTTTAACTGCACTGCATGAATAAAATTGGTCCTGCCCCGAATAAGAGCGTAAGAAGAGCCTACTGGATCAGGCCAATGGCCCACGTAGTCCAAAAATCCTCTCCCTTCTTGTAGCTTCCAGCAACTGGTACAGTGGTACCCCGCAAGACGAATGCCTCGGAAGACGAAAAACTCGCTAGACGAAGGAGTTTTTCGTTTTCTTAGCCGCTTCGCAAGACGCATTTCCCTATGGGCTTGCTTCGCAAAACGAAGCTTGCCCCGCAAGCTCCGGGGATAGCGGGGAAGCGCAGCGCGCCTTCCCCGCTGTCCCCAGACCTCTTTTGAAGCAAGGGGCGGCGGGGAGAAGATCGCTTCTCCCCGTTGCCAGCCCCGCAATCTCCGGGGACAGAGGGGAAGGCGCGCGCGCCTTCCCCTCTGTCCCCGGACCCCTTTTGAACCAAGGGGCGGCAACGGGGAGAAGCGATCTTCTCCCCGTTGCCTCCCCTTGCTTCAAAAGAGGGGACAGAGGGGAAGGCACGCGCGCCTTCCCCTCTCCCCAGACCCCTTTTGAACCAAGGGGCAGCAACGGGGAGAAGCGATCTTCTCCCCGTTGCCTCCCCTTGCTTCAAAAGAGGGGACAGAGGGGAAGGCACGCGCGCCTTCCCCTCTCCCCAGACCCCTTTTGAACCAAGGGGCAGCAACGGGGAGAAGCGATTCTCCCCGCTGCCCCTTCCCTTGCTTTAAAACAGGTCCGGGGACAGAGGGGAAGGCGCACGGTGCTTCCCCTCTGTCCCCGGACGGTCTCCATAGGAACGCATTGATTGATTTTCAATGCATTCCTATGGGAAACCGTGCTTCGCAAGATGAAAAACTCGCAAAAAGAAAAAACTTGCAGAACGAATTAATTTCGTCTTGCGAGGCACCACTGTACTCAGATGCATTGCTTCCTCTGACTGTGGAGGCAAAGCAAAGCCATCCTGGCTCGTAGCTACTGATGCCCCTCTCCTCCATTACCGTACTTTTTGCTCCATAAGACACACTTTTTCCCTCCTAAAAAGGAAGGGGAAATATCTGTGCATCTTATGGAGCGAATGCATGGTCCCTGGAGCCAAATTCACCATCGGATCACATAGCATGTCCGTGGCTATAGCCTGCACCAAAAAAAATCATGCATCCACTGTTTCGTGGAGCAAAAACGTGGTTACAAAGCACAGATCCACATGGATTCTCAGGATTTTTGCATTGGGCTACCCCAAACTCACTGTCAAATCACATATCATGTCTGTGGCCATAGCATGAACCACAAAAATCATACATCCACTGTTTTGTTCAGAATATTTATTTTCTTGTTTTCCTCCTCTAAAAACTAGGTGTGTCTTATGGTCCTCACTGCCTCTGGTGGAAGGGAGTTCCATAGTTTAACTATGCACTGGACGAAGAAGGACTTTCTTTTCTCCGTCCTGCCCCAGGTCAGGGCCGGTTTCCTCGTTACCTTCAATGGGCATCCTGCACACTTGGCTCCCGCAGCCTGAGTCACAGCACTTCTGCGCTCTGGGACAGCTGGCGTCGTCCGTGCAGGAAGAGTTGCACACCAAAGGCGCCTGGAGCTTCTTCAGCAGCGGTGGCGGGCAGCTCCCGGGCTTCTCTGGGAGCAGACGAGAAAGCAGAGAATGAGCAAGAGAGGGTCACATCTTGAGGAGGGCAGGCAGCCAGGACTCTGTGGCCAAGGAAGGTGTGCTGGGGAGGTAGATCTGAGAAGGGTTTGAAGACAGGCAGCTGCTGCCTTCGAATCACAGAACTGCAGAGTGGAGGGGACCCCAACAGTCATCTACATTTCCCAGCACAATTCAAAGTGTTGGTGCTGACCTTGAAAGCCCTAAACAGCCTCGGTCCAGTATATCTGAAGGACCATCTCCACCCCCATCGTTCAGCCTGGACACTGAGGTCCAGCGCCGAGGGCCTTCTGGCGGTTCCCTCGCTGCGAGAAGCCAAGTTACAGGGAACCAGGCAGAGGGCCTTCTCGGTGGTGGCGCCTGCCCTGTAGAACGCCCTCCCACCAGATGTCAAAGAGAAGAACAACTACCAGACTTTTAGAAGACATCTGAAGGCAGCCCTGTGTAGGGAGGCTTTTAATGTTTAACACACTACTGTATTTTAATACTTTGTTGGAAGCCGCCCAGAGTGGCTGGGGAGACCCAGCCAGATGGCCGTGGGTATAAGTAATAAATTATTATTATTATTATTATTATTATTATTATTATTATTATTATTATTATGTCCAACCCCATGCAATGTGGGAATCACAGCACCTCGGCTGCAGTGGAGCACTGCACTATCGCTGGTCACCCACAGCCTGCGCAGCACTGCCTTGTCTCTCTGTACCACCCAGTGCCCCTTCTTGAGGTTGGCAAGGTCTCATGGTCCGATGGGATGACTGCACAGCCCCTCTCTCTGTTCTTAATGGGACAGTGACTGAGCCACAGGCCTGCTGCAATCTCTTCCCCAAGCCCAGAATTCGGGATCTGACTATGGCTGTTTAGCAGGGAAGGCACTCTGCCCATGCTCAGAGGTACACACAACTTTGGGCACTTTGCTCCAGAACTGTTTCTGGGGCTCAGGAACCACCCCCAACTTAAATTCAACCCCATTTCTCTCCCTGGCCCAGGAACAAAAGGCCTCCAGAAAACATGGGTAGATTTGCTCATGTCATCCGGGGTGCATTTGCCCCCACCAACTTCGAGCTGAAGACCCTCCCCATGAGATTTTATTTATTTGTTATTTCATAAAATCTATACACCGCTTGTTTGTAAACAAACAAACAAACCTCCAAATAGTTTACAACAACAATGAAACTATTAGCTATCAGAAAGAATCCAGAAGGAAACCATTAGAAGAATCAGTAGCAATAATTTAAGACATTCACAAAGTTAAAATGTCATTAGACTAGAAACAGATTAAAACTTGCATGAACTTTCTCAACATCTGCTTGCCTAACAAAAATGCTTTTAGCGGCTTCCAGAAAGGGTATGCTAAATGCCCCTGCTTGATATCAACAGGCAGGGAGTTTCAAAGTTTGGCGCTGCCGCACTAAAATTCCAAGTTCTTACAAGTGCAGAACGGGTACAATGTGGCACTCATAACAGTGCCAGTTCCACCAATCCAAGCAGCCCGAGGTGTGCATCTGGGCGATGCGATCTTGCAGGTAAATGAAACCCTTCACCAGTGGCTGGCAAAGCACAGGTACCTTGGCTGGCAGGCAGGCAGACGTGTTTGCAGGCAAATTCACAGCACTTCTTCCCCCCGGCGCACTCGCTGTCCGCTTCGCAGTCCACCTTGCAGGGGGGGTCATACAGCCCATTGGGGGAGGCGGGGCAGAATCCATCCTTCCCTGCACGCAAAAGAGATGGGGAGAAAGAAGATTGAGCAACCAAGAGGCTCGGTGTGAGCACGATCCAGGCCCTCTCCCTGCCAGTCCTGGGCTCTGCATTTTGAGAGTGGGCACCCCCCCCCCCAGGGAAGGTGCAAGGGGGCAGTTTGTCCATTAATCCCCCGTTCCGGGGCAGACCAAGATATTTTGCTGCCCGGGGCAAAGGAGAAGATGGCTGCCTCTCCCAGTTCCACATACAGAAGCCTTTTTGGGATCCTTTGGCTGTGTTTCCTGCACTGCAGGGGACTGGACAAGATCAGAGCTTCTCGTTAGCGAAGAATTGGAAAACACAGGAAGTACCAACAGTGGAAGATTGGCAGATGAAGATGATGGATTTTTCAGAGCTGGTGGACCTGACTGGAAGAGTCTGCGACCAGAAGTAGGAGGAGTACCAGGAAGAATGGATTAAATTTAAAGACTATTTGGTTAAATATGTTAAGATAACTTAATTGGAAAAGCTTGCAAATAATAGATAGGCTTAGGATTTAAATATGTAAGGATAAGACTTAAGATGTTTAAAGTCAAATTAGAAAGAATGAAAGACGTTAAGTGACCAAGTTAATTTTTTGAGAAAATCGATTTTGGAAAACTGTTAAAATGAGATATAATGAAATTCAACCAAGGGGATTTGAGGAAGTCACTCAATAATGTTACCAAGATTTAAACAGGATGTATGTATGTATGTATGTATGTATGTATGTATGTATGTATGTATGTTTATTTGTTTGTTTGTTTGTTTGTTTTGAATTTGTGAAAACCAATAAAAAATTTTCGAAAAAGAAAGAAAGATCAGAGCTTCCCAAACTTTTCATTTTCGTGACACACTTTTTGGACATGCGTCATTTCATGACGCAGTGATTCAGTTTTACCAGCAAACCAGAGGTTAAACTAACCCCTTTCCGGCCCCAGGAGAAGCGCCGGGTGTGTTGTGTGACACACCTACGCCCTGCAGCCAACGCACTAATGTGTCATGATGCGCAGTTTGGGAAGCTCTGGACTAGATAGACATAGCCTGCAGGATCAGGCCAATGCCCCCCTCTAGTCCAGCATCTTGTTCTCGCATGAGCTAACCAAATCTCCCAAGGGGACCCGAGTTCAAGAACCCTCTCCCCTCCTGCTGTTTCCAGCAGCACCCCAAACACTTTGGGGTACAAACAGTTCAGGTTACAAACTCTGCTAACCTGGAAGTAGTACTTCGGGTTGAGAACTTTACCCCAGGATGAGAATGGAAATCGTGCACCGGTGGCACAGCGGCAGCAGGAGGCCCCATTAGCGAAAGCGCGCCTCAGGTTAAGAACGGACCTCTGGAATGAATTAAGTTCGTAGCCCCAGGTACCACTGTATTGCTGTGGGTGGCATGTGCCAGCCCTGCCCTTCAGTGCCTTCTTGCCACCACTCCCTGACCTTCTTCACCAGCAGCTGCCGCCTGAGGCAGCCTCCTCACTCTGCCTAATAGCAGGGCTGCCCCCATCCATACAAGAGGGGATGTTTTCTCCAAGCTTTGCACAGATGCCATCGTATCCCCACCACAAAAAAGGATGTCTCACAGTCCACACCAGATTCCTAGCCGGGCTTGTGGGCTCGAAGGGACATTATTCCATTTGTAGTGACCCTTGGGTTTCGTTGTTCTGGTCCCAAGTACCGTATTTTTCGCTCTATAACACGCACCTGACCATAACACGCACATCGTTTTTAGAGGAGGAAAACAAGGGAAAAAACATTCTGAATGAAACAGTGGATGTATCATTTTTGTGCTTCATGCTGTGGCCACAGACATGTGATCTGATGGTGAATTTGGGGTGACCCAATGCAAAGATCCTGAGAATCCCTGTGGATCCGTGCTTTGTAACCACATTTTTGCACCATTGCAGCCCCAGGCAACAGTGGGTGCGTGCTTTTTTTGGTGCAGGCTGTAGCCATGGACATGCTATGTGATCTGATGGTGAATTTGGGGTGACCCAATGCAAAGATCCTGAGGATCCATGTGGATCCATGCTTTTTAACCATGTTTTTGCACCATTGCAGCCCCAGGCAACAGTGGGTGCGTGCTTTTTTTGGTGCAGGCTGTAGCCATGGACATGCTATGTGATCTGATGGTGAATTTGGGGTGACCCAATGCAAAGATCCTGAGGATCCATGTTGATCTATGCTTTGTAACCACATTTTAAGTGGGGAGCGAAGGAAAAACAAAGAAGGGACATGAGAGGGGTGTGCAGAGAAGCAGCTGGCTAAGAATGCTGGAGAGGGATTTGGGGTGGGAGGAAAGAAAGGCAAAAGTTCCCCCCCCAAGCCAGCCATCTCTCTCTCTCTCTCTCTCTCTCTCTCTCTCTCTCTCTCCCTCCCTCCCCCCCCCCTCTCTCCCTCCCCCCCTATCTCCCTCTCCCTCCCCCCTCTCCCTCTCCCTCCCCCACTCTCTCTCCCTCTCCCCCAGCAGCACCGGAGCACAGAGAGGAATTAGAAAGAACGACACTCTGCTTGCCTGGAGGGGAGGGGCTTTCCCTGCTCTTTGTTCCGTTTGAGCAAACCACAGCAAGGAAACAGAGGAGGGTGGGCAGTAAGACCCTGAGGCAGAATGCAGGAAAGCTGCCACTTCCTCTTTTCAGGTTTCCCTTCTCCGTGACTCGCGGTTTGACTTTTGCTTGATTTTTTGGCTCCAGGGACCACACATTCGCTCTATAACACGCACAGACATTTCCCCTTCCTTTTTAGGAGAAAAAATCTGCGTGTTATAGAGCGAAAAATACGGTATATCAAGAAGTATCTAAATTAATTAAACCCCCTTTTCCAACCTCCCCGCAACTATGTGGGCTGATAACACGAACGCTTGTCCCTCTAAAGAGCTTTTGACATAGATGTCAGCTGTAGCTATAACAAGATTCCCTGGTGGTCCACTGGAATGGAGTTACCAGGCTATTGACTGTTTGGCCCCGAAGCACCCTCTCCGACCGCATGGAGCCCAGATAGCCCCATGGTTTTCCATGCATCTGAGGGCAATGAAACAATCGCTGAGACAGCTAGAGCGCCGGTGGTGGATAACTCATTCTGAAGCCAACCAGACACGGGTTAGAGCTCAATGTTGAGCCCACCAAGTGGCGATAGCAACGGCGAAGAAGACTTTCTTCACCGCCTCTATTGCATCTGCAGAAAACAGCAGCAGGAGACTTTTTCAGGTGGTTCGCAATTTAGAGGAACCACCTGCTCCATCAGGGCCCAGTAGGGGCCACATGATCTCCTGCAATGATTTTGCAAAGTTTTTTGCAAATAAAGTCGCTCAGATTCAGAAAGAGGTAGACTCCACCGTGGGAGCAGGGCCGGGGCGGGAGAGTGCTAGAGTCCTGTCTAGTCAAATTGCGTGGGATCAATTCCAATCTGTTACCTCCGAGGATGTGGACAGGCTGCTTGGACGAGTGAAACCAACCACTTGTCTCCTTGATCCTTGCTCATCCTGGCTAATAAAAGCGAGCCGGGAAGGGCTGGGCGATGGGCTTAATTATTATTAAGGTGCGTCCTGAAGAATATCCCTCTCAACCCCCTCCCCCTCCCCCCACCTTGGTTTCCTGATCTTGGAGGGGCCTTTCTGGCTCAGCCACCCCATGGCAGCCTGGAGCAGAGGACCCAGCTAGCATTGCAGGCCCAGCTGGTGGGGAGCCAAGGAGCACATTGCTGCCCCAAGGGGGAAAACAGGCTGGTTCTGCTCTGCTCCAGCTGCTGTGACTCCAGCCCCCTCCCCACCCCAAACCCCCACCTTAAGAACACAAGGAGAGCCTGCTGGATTAGGCCAAAGGGGGCTTGTTATGTATTGAAGTTCTCACCCTGGCCACCAGGAGTATTGTGTATGTAGTTTTCACTCAGGTCCACGTCAGTTACTTTAGGTGGGAAACCCTGGGTTGTTGTTGCTACAATGTTGACAGCCGGCTGCCTATAAAAGCAGGCCGGTTGAGCTGTTTGCTGTTCAGTTCTGTTCCAGCTTACAAATAAAGAGCTGCTTTGAAGAAATCGCTGCGTCGTCTGCTATGTTCGCCCACAACTTAACAGGGCTCATCTAGTCCAGCCTTGTGTTCTCACGGTGGCTGACCAGGTGCCCCAAAGGGAAACATGCAATCAGGATTCGAACACAGGAGCCCTCCCCTGGCAGTTTTGCAGCAACTGGGATGCAGAAGCCTTGCTGCCTCCAGAGCCCATCCATTGCCCTCTCCTCCTCCATGAATTGTCTGACCCTCTTCTGAAGCCATCTCTGTTGGTGGCTGCTTCCTTCCTGCAGAAGGGAGTTCCAAAGTTTAACTCTGCGCTGCACAAACAATTCCTTTCTTTCATCCGTCCCGAAACTTCCAACATTCAGCTTCGTTGGACATCCATGAGTTCTATGAGAGAGGGGGAAAGACCTCTCTCCACTTCCTCCGTGTCAGACGGAATCTTATAAATTTCTATCATGTAGCTTCTTTTGATTTTTTTTATATCTTTATTGTCACTGTCCCATACAGAACAATGAAATTGAAAAATCTACATAAGACATTCAAAAACCCCTAAAAACTCTAAAACCCCATTTTAAAATACAGTATACTATAGAGACTCCTTATACAGTGGTACCTCGTGTTACATACGCTTCCGGTTACATACACTTCAGGTTACAGACTCTACTAACCCAGAAATAGTACGTCAGGTTAAGAACTTTGCTTCAGAATAAGAACAGAAATCGTGCGGCAGCAGCAGGAGGCCCCATTAGCTAAAGTGGTGCTTCAGGTTAAGAACAGTTTCAGGTTAAGAACGGACCTCCGGAACAAATTAAGTACTTAACCTGAGGTACCCCTGTACTGCCTTTAAAACCAGAATTGCATTTGGGTAGAAACTGTTTCTCAGGCGGCTAGTCCTGGTCTTTATAACCCTGTACCTTCTTCCAGAAGGCAGAAGCTGAAAAAGATCATTTCCGGGGTGCGCACTATCCTGTGCTATCTCTGCAGCTTTCTTATGGCATCTGGAAGCGTAGATTTGATCCAAGGTGGGAAGAGTGCACCCAAATATTCTCTCCACAGTCTTTACAACCCTGGATGGCATTGTTTCCCCCCCTGACCGTGCAGCTCCCAAACCACACACACAGATCATGTTAATACACGCTCCAGAGTACAATGGTAAAATGCCATCATCAGGTCCTTTGAGAGATTGTTTTTCCGGAGGATTCTCAGAAAATGTAACCTCTGCTCTGCTCTGTTCATCAGGTCTTTGCTGTTTGCTCCCCAGGTCATCTCTCAACTCCATTCCCAGAAATCGAAACACCGAGACCTGTTCCACACATTTCTCCTCAATAATGAGTGGATGAATATTCAATTTACATTTCCTAAAGTCCACAATAATCTCTTTTGTTTTCTTTAAGTTGAGGAGTAAGTTGTTTTTCCTGCACCACTCCCCCAACTGCTCAACTTCCTTCCTATAGGCCGCCTCCCCCTCTCCAGCCGTGATTAAACCAACCACCGTTGTTTCATCTGCAAACTTAATGACTGGGGTATTCTTGTTCTCCTATGCCTCCTGCTCACCTTGTCTCTAAATGAAAACATCTCCCTCTGGTGCTGGATCTATGGGGAAGGAGGCTTCTCCTCAGCACCCAAGAGAGGATGGCCCAGCCCCCCTCCCCCCCAGGGGGACCCGACTCCTTAAGCCAAGCTCTCACCTGTCCTCTCCTCTCCATAATCTGGGGACTGGACAGCAGCAGCAGCGCAACCCTGGAGCAAGAGGAGTCCTGTTAGGAGCCAGAGGACTCCTGCCTCCATGGTGCTCTGGGGAATATCCAGCCTGGAATATCCGGATCTGAGCCACGCAGAGGAGCATTAAATGCTTTCCAGGGCGGGGCTGGCTCCCAGTGACCTACCTGGCCAGCTGTGCCGGTTCTGCTGAGGGAGCAGCCAGGACTGGCCCAAAATAGCCCTCCTGCTCTGGGTTCTGGGAGAAGCCTCGGCTGGGCACAAGAGCTCATCCTTTCCCTGGCCTGTAGTGCCCGTTCCCTTTTCCTCTGGGCTGCCTCGTCTGGGCACACCTGCCTCCGTTGCTGACCCTGGGGACCGAAGCCAGCACCCCCCATAAAATGACCCATTCCACGCTCAGGTGGATCACACAGCTTGGCCAGGCAAAGGTGGTAGAAGAATTAGGAGCAGGGATGAAAACCAGGAGCCGGGTGGAGGGCTCTCTCTTCTGCTCAAATCTTGCTTGCTCATTTCCATTTGGAGCATTTGATCGGCCACTGTGAGAAGAGGGTGCTGGACTGGCCTTTGGCTTGATCTAGCAGGCTCTTGTTATTTCCTTAATATACCCATATTTTTTTAAAAAAATGATTTGGAGTGTAGAATCATAGAACGGTAGAGTTGGAAGTGACCCATAGGATCCCTTCCAACCTAGCAGTTCGAAAGCACGTCAAAGTGCAAGTAGATAAATAGGTACCGCTTTGGCGGGAAGGTAAACGGCGTTTCCGTGCGCTGCTCTGGTTCGCCAGAAGTGGCTTAGTCATGCTGGCCACATGACCCGGAAAAGCAGTCTGTGGACAAACGCCGGCTCCCTCAGCCAGTAAAGCGAGATGAGTGCCGCAACCCCACAGTCATCCGCGACTGGACCTAACGGTCAGGGGTCCCTTTAACTTTACTATGCCTAAGGGATGCGGGTGGCACTGTGGCTTAAACCACAGAGCCTAGGACTTGCCGATCAGAAGGTTGGTGGTTCGAATCCCCACGACGGGGTGAGCTTCTGTTGCTCGGTCCCTGCTCCTGCCAACCTAGCAGTTCGAAAGCACGTCAAAGTGCAAGTAGATCAATAGGTACTGCTCCAGTGGGAAGGTAAACGGCGTTTCCGTGCGCTGCTCTGGTTCGCCAGAAGCGGCTTAGTCATGCTGGCCACATGACTTAGAAGCTGTACGTCGGCTCCCTCGGGCAATAAAGTGAGATGAGCGCCACAACTCCAGAGTCGGTCACGACTGGACCTAATGGTCAGGGGTCCCTTTACCTTTACCTTTTAGAGTTAGAAGGGACCCATAGGGCCATACAGTCCACCCCCCGGATGATGCTCAGACAGAGGGGTTTGCACAGCAGGTCAGGAGCATCAACTGGCAAAGAGACCAAGGCAATGTGTGGGGCATGAAGTGGGGGAGTGGGGCAGAAGTCTGGGAAGGGAGGCAAGGAGGATCTTCACGTATCTGAAGGGATTCCCCATGGAGGGTGGTGCAAGCTTGCTTTCTGCTGCTCCAGAGGTCTTGAGCAAAATTGGGTAGAGTAGGCAAGGTTGCAGGTTCGATCCCTGTATAGTACAGCTGCATATTCCTGCCTTGCAGTGGGCTGGACTAGATGATGCACAGGGTCCCTTCCAGCTCTATGACTCTGACTCAAGAGTAGGAAGAACTTTCTGATGGGAAGAAGAGCCCTGGAGGTTTTGAAGCAGAGGTTGGGTGGCCATCTTCCAAGGAGGATTCAGCTGAGATTCCTGCATCGCAGGGGGCTGGACTGGACGACCCCAAGGGGTACCTTCCAACTCTCTATTTCTTTGAACAAGGAAGGAGGAGGCGGCAAATGGCAGCTGGGTCAGGGGGGCCGAGAGAGTCAGGAAAGTGATGCAAGCAGAAAGTCAGAGGTGAAAAGGGAAGTGGCGAATCTTGTGATAGATTTCAGTAAAAGAGAAGTTGTGTGGAGAGGTGAGTTGGCTGGTAAGAAAAGCCTCATTTTGCCTGGACAGCCAGGAATTCACTGGGGAAGGTGAAACCTTTCTCACTCTTTGTCTGGGAAATTCCCCCTCAGCCCAGCGAAGTTGTGCAAGAAGCTGCGACATGAAGGAATGCCATCCTTGTCTAAGCCATACCTAATGAATGGCCTGAATTATGTCGAAATCCAGGGGGAGGGTGAGCAAAGGGAGCCCAGGCAGTTGAGAGGTGAGGAAATCCAAAGGCTGGTGAGGACTCCTTCCCTCTTGGTGACATTTAAGCACCTGGCATGAACACCTGGTCTGGGCCAGGGTCCTCCAGGCAAGAGGGAGCGGCTGTGTCCTGTTTAGGCTCAGCTGGGCAACCAGTCTGACTTCTCCTTTCCCCCTCCCTCCCAAGTGCTTTCTTGTGAATAAGTGTTGAACAGCTATAATTTGGAAAGGTGACGTGTCGTCACAGCAGGCGAGGAATGAAGCCTTTTAGCCTGCAGAAGAGAAGACTGGGAGGTGATATAATGGCCTTTGTCAAGTATCACACAGAAGACGGAGCAAGCTTGTTTTCTGCTGCTCCAGAGGGTAGGACTCAAACCAATGGGTTCAAATCGCAGGGGATTGCATAGATGATCTTTGTTGGTCCCTTTCAGCTCCACAGGCCTATGATTCTGAGATGTACGTGTCTGGCCTGCTCTCACCCCTGCCTGTCCAGATGTCCGACGCTGGGAACTGTGGGTTGAAGAAGTAGAGCAGATGTGTGCATGGCACCAAGAGCGGCTTGCACACAAGAGGTCTGCAAAAGAAAACGTCCATCTCTCCATTTGAAGTTCCTTCCCTTTCCAAATTAATGCTGCATAATGGAACAAGGGGGACGCAGGTGGCGCTGTGGGTTAAACCACAGAGCCTAGGACTTGCCGATCAGATGGTCGGTGGTTCGAATCCCCGCGACGGGGTGAGCTCCCGTTGCTCAGTCCCTGCTCCTGCCCACCTAGCAGTTCAAAAGCACGTCAAAGTGCAAGTAGATAAATAGATACTGCTCTGGCGGGAAGGTAAACGGCATTTCCGTGCGCTGCTCTGGTTCGCCAGAAGCGGCTTAGTCCTGCTGGCCACATGACCCAGAAGCTGTACGCCAGCTCCCTTGGCCAATAAAGCGAGATGAGGGCCGCAACCCCAGAGTCAGTCACGACTGGACCTAATGGTCAGGGGTCCCTTTACCTTTACCTTTTTAATGGAACAAGGTGTCCCTTCAGAATGGCCTTAAGTGAGCTGATGTCTTTGAGTGCCACAGTCAGACATGGTAACCCTTCCAGCCTGAATCAGTGAAACTGGAGCATTTGGTTTCCTAATGACCTCATAGCATTATTTCCCTCAGGACAAGGTGACTTGCTGCATCACCCCAGCCAGAACCCACAATGCCTGTCACAGTTTCCTAGCAAAGGGGTTTTGGGAGGCTCAGACCTGATGTTTGCCTCCCACTGACTCAACCTGTCCCTGCTGTTGTTGTAGCTGTCACAGGGTGTGACTCAGGAACGCTCCCCCCAGAGCTTTCTATGGGACACTTTCCCTATGATTGGAATCCCTTTCCTATCGCTTCCTCTTGTGGCGACACCTGGATCCCAGCAAAGACAGTTGTGCAATATCTCTCTCCCCCCCCCCCACAGCAGCCCTCCCCCGGGATGCTCAGTTTCAGGGAACTGCTCCTCTTGCCACGCACTGACTCAGCCACTGACTCAACATTCCTGGTGCGAGGAAGTGGAAGGAGATAATTGCTCACTGTGCCCTGTGGCACTTGCGCCCTTCCCAGACAAACAAGCAAGGGAGGGGGCAGGCTGGCACATGCAGCCCCCACTCCTCTCTGCTTGGGTGAGTCATGCATTTGGCAAGCAGGAGCCTTCTATTTTTATTTTGCAAAGTTTGTTTACAATTTTGAGAACCGTTTCCAAGCATGCGGTGTCGTCTTGCAAGACAAATACACCTACAGATGTTGAATCCTGTATGCAGCCATCCACACAGCATCAAACAAATGTGGGGCTCTGTTTGGTCCATGACTTCTAGGCATGGGTCCAAGAGGTGGGGGTTTTTTGTGTCCCACTGCTTCCCCCAGGAAAAGCTGAGGTTTGCTGATGAATCAGAGCAAACATCCATCGGGTTTTCCCCTGGGAAAGCAGTTGCACAAACTAAAACCTCTTGGATGCATGCCTGGAAGTCACGGACCAAACAGAAGAAATTGTGGGACAAAGGGAAGTGTGGAAGGGCCCCTGGAAAACCTTTCATGTTATGGATTCGGCTCACATCCACAGGGTATGCTTCAATCTCAAGCCTTAAGCTAATTTCTCCATAGTGGCTGCTGTGAGTGAGATAGAAGGGGGAGCACTGTTCGGTTGTTAAAAAATGACATAACCATACGGTGTCAAACTCATCTTTCTTTGTCATTCCTCTTATCACCCTCCCACGGTGTGTTAAGCATTCCATAAGTGCTATATTCCACACATAAAGCTAAAGGGACCCCTGACCATTAGGTCCAGTTGTGGCCGACTCTGGGGTTGCAGCGCTCATCTCGCTTTACTGGCCGAGGGAGCCTGTGTACAGCTTCCGGGTCATGTGGCCAGCAGGACTAAGCCGCTTCTGGTGAGCCAGAACAGTGCACGGAAATGCCATTTACCTTCCCGCTAGAGCGGTACCTATTTATCTACTTACACTTTTACATGCTTTCGAACTGCTAGGTTGGCAGGAGCTGGGACAGAGCAATGGCAGCTCACCCCGTCGAGGGGATTCAAACCACCGGCCTTCCGATCGGTGAGTCCTAGGCTCTGTGGTTTAACCCACAGCACCACCCGTGTCCCATTTTCCACACATACTGGGTCCAGGTTTTTGGGGAGGGGAGGGTTTGGTAACACCCCCCCCCCATTGGAATCAACTACTTATCTCGCTGCTATCATAAGAAAGGTTGATGAAGATGTCGACCCAGTGTGCAGCGGCTGTGAAAAAGGCAATTCTGGTTTCCGGCTGACGTCACGATTTATGGCGGTAGCTCTCCTTTGCCCTCTGGGGCAGTGGGGAGGCTCAGGCGGGGGGAAGCCAGGATTTAAGAGGTAAAATTCCTGGCAAT